TTTCGGCTTTCACTATTAGGCGTCATATTTTCCTCCTCAAGGAATCCATCCTCTCCCAGGACTGAAATGTCTTTTGTTACTCTTTTCGGTGCTTTTGTAACTATGATTTTTTACATGGCAGGGTTGTTGGCCTTGCGCACAACCACTTGGGGGGTTGCCCCTCACAGCTCAATGGGTAGCTGCCTTTGTTCGGGTTAGGTCCCTAGCCTTTGTGGATCCCTCCACTTCCTACAAGGCAGTAGGGCTGATTTTGGTCCGCCCCGGGTATTTTATTTCCCCGGTACCCTCCATATCTGGCGGGCTTTCCCCTATCCGCCGGCTGGGGAGGCGCTCGATAGAAGATCAGCATCTCCCACGAGTTGTAACATGGTACTACGGAGATATTTTTTGATGAGCTTAAAATTATAGAACGACCTCTGCAGTTGCACAATTCTTTTGCTGCCCTCTCCCGATACTACCTCTCAACTTAGTGCAATTTTTTTTTCAATTTTATGCTCTTTTTTCTGTTGCTGGTCCGCTGACGAAGGCGAGGCTTCCTGCCGACACGTTCGTTGTTTTGTTGCGCTCCCTTAAGGGTCGTCCATTAATTACGTCAACAATTTTTTTGTCAACAACTGTCAAACTTTTAATGACCGCTCCCCCTAATTAATCATATCAACATTTTCTAAACACCCCCCACCACACACACACACAAGAAAAAACTTGGCCTATTATAATTAAATGTATAAAAACGTTTAACTTCGTGCTGATCTATTTTAATGACACAAGATTGATAGGAAAAACATTTTATTACATCTTTAGCTTGTTAATCAACAAGTTTAAAAAGTTTTTACACTTACATGTTATAATGCAGAATCAATTGAAATGTTGTTGAAGACTAAACATCATTGTTTGTGGTATACATATGATTATTGTCAGTAAAGCTGACAATTATGGTATAATTTATAGCTGTCATCATCTTCCCAAGGAGTAGCCAGGTTTACTCTCTCGTAACAATGGGCATCAGGGACATCATTTGGGTAGGGCAGGGTGTCATTTGTCTCCCCTTCCTAATTTGCAGTTTTTATTTAAATTGCTATGTACTGTGACGCCTTCACTAATAAAAAAAACCTTAAAAAGCCGACAAAGTTTTGGTTTTAGCCCCCCTCCCCCTTGAAAAAAATCTGAAATGACGCCCCTGATGGGCATAGTCTATAGTAGCTGATTGATCATTTTCATCTTGCCGCACTGATATACCAAGCGAGTCAACATTATCCTCATCTAACCATTCAGCACTTAAAATAGAAGCATTGTCGGTGTGAGCAATAATTGCCATAAGCTCTCTCTATCTCCTTGCAGCTCCTCGCATTGGTCGAATCCTTTTTTGTTGAGGAGCAGGTGCTAATTTCTTATGCTCAAGGGGGCATTGTCGGTGCTGTTGAACATGCTTTTTCAACATGACGTGTGATGGAAAATAGATGTTACAGATTTTGCAAATCCGTTCAAGCAGCGATGTTATTATTGTTACTCATTTTACATTCCCCTAATTCTCAAAATATAGTATTCCTACTCTATTAATATCATTTAACTTTTGACTTCTCTTGCACTAACAAAGTGTGCTAACAATCTTACCATCCGTCTGCAGTGCACAGACAGACTCACATTAAATAAATCTTATATTAAAAGCCTAAAAATTATACGACTATTTACTCTCATATTTTTTTTAAATAATGCAATAACCAGTCAATTTTTAAGATTAAAATTGTAACACAGAAAACATGATTGTTGACGTCAACTTATCTAAACCCCTTCCCCCCCCCCCTTGTCAACAACTGTCAAACATTTCAACACCCCCCCCCTATTTTGTTGACGTAATTAATGGACGCCCCCTTATTTAGGTTTGACCTTACTTTATTTTACTCATTTCCTATTACAGTCAATTTTTAAGATTAAACATGTAACACCGAAAACATGATTGTTGACGTCAACTTATCTAAACCCCTTCCCCCCCCCCTTGTCAACAACTGTCAAACATTTCAACACCCCCCCCCTATTTTGTTGACGTAATTAATGGACGCCCCCTTATTTAGGTTTGACCTTACTTTATTTTACTCATTTCCTATTTTGCTAACCTGACAGCATTCTCTCCGGGGTAATAAGGGGAGACACGTTCGCTGTTTTGTTGCGTTTAATTTTTCAGGTTTAACCATACTCTGTTTTACTCATTTTATTTTGCATTCTCTCCGCCTTATTACCCTCTGCTGTTGCCACAGTTACTAATAAAATGAGGAAGAGAATATTTGCTGTGCTGAAAACCGGGAGTGATGTAGCAAGAGAACAAACCACTTTTGAATATTAAAAAAAAATATAAAAAAAATAAATAAATAAAAGACTCAACTCCAGACTGTATTTATTTTCCTTATTTTCTTGTTTGAGAACCTTTCTAACGCTTTGCAGCTCCTCAAAGAACGATGATATTATATCAGTGATCGGAAAATCGCGGCTCTAAAGCCACATGCGTCTCTTTAACGACATGAGTGCTGCTCAGCCATTCGGCCACACATCGTGTTTAACTCCAAAAAAACATTGATCTTGACGTTTGCTTGAAAAGAAATATGGCTCTCAATTTTTTTTTTTTTTAAATCGTCCTTCTGCTGATTTTTGGCTCCTTTGTCTAATGAGCTTGCCGACCACTGTTAATATCATTTGAATTTAAATACTGCTGCTGTAGCTTTGTCGCCATTGAGAACAGTTCATCATCGGTGGACAGCATTCAATTCCCGAGGCTGCAGGGCATTAACTTTCAGTGAGCCAAAATATGTCAGCTATCTACCAGCACTTGCATTCTCCTGGACCGATGAATAGCCGGACTGTAGAGAATGTCTAGAGTGCGGTAAACTATATTTATGTTGAATCGCATGTCTGGAATAGTGGCTCTGCCACCTGCAAATTGCTTCTTTGCTTTTGGGATTTGCATTACCTTCTTTTTCTACTACATTTTTGGGGGGTCCATGATCAATGTAGGCTTATTGATCATTCTGGCTCATATGTTTGTAGAGGGGGTTCGCGATGTTTCTGTGCATGGTTATGAAAAGGATACTTCACTGGTTGTAAGAGCTATTCAGGGATGGTATTAGTATTAGGAACTGGGAATTTGGAAGGCAGGCTGTCGCCTCAACTGTTCCTTTTTACAAAGGTCAAAGGTGGTCTTGTAGGCCTACACCTCATTGTTGAGTAAGAGAAACTATCCCGGGCTGGCAGCACGGCGATAAAGGCTATCACGGCACATACGCCACTGGCGTCAAAAAGGGTTACCGGAAAGTTGATCGAAAAAATTTTCGTCGGCGGAAAATTGATCGACGGAAATTTGATCGAACAGAAATTTGGTCGAATCCTTTTTGATTTTGTCAGTTCACGATTCACGCGTTAAAATTTTCGTCAAATTTCTTTTTGAACGCACTTTTCTAAATAGTAAAACAAAGTAATACGCTAAAAAAGTAATTTGACGCAATATTTTAACATGTGAACTGAAAAAAGATTCAACCGAGGTAACCGAATTTCCGCTCAATCAAATTTCCGTCGATCAATTTTCGTCGACGAAATTTCTTTCAATCAAATTCCCGGATACGATAAAAAAAAAGTGAAGCCTTCCATTTCGTCACGTGACGTCCCAAAATAATTATAAATGAATTTTTAGGATTTCCCCTATTAAAATGGTCTATCAGAGAACTCGCGCCATCTCGCGGTAGATTGAAATAGGAGAAAACAGAAATGGCGGACGAACAGGTGATTAAAATTTGAAAACAATCATCATTTTTTTTTCAACAATCTGTTAAATGTCTTGTATAAAATACAAGACAACTGAAAACAATAACTTCTTCATGCAGCCTGTTTTTTTTTCTTTTTTAAAGAATTACTACAAAATCAATTCTGCTACTATTTTACTATTAGTAATTGTTAGTACTGAACAAAAACAGAGTTTACAGAGTCGACTCTTGACAATCACTGTATTAGTCTTAATTAGTATTAAGTTTATTTTTAGTTTTGAGTAACTCAAACTATAAATAGACTAGTTATAGGATTACAGAGACGAGTCTCATCTCTCAAGCCAATCATGAGAATTAAGACTGTCAATGCTCGTTATACTGTGATGAGGATGTGTGGGAGTATTGAGGTGCTGCAAATGGTCAAATCAAATGCATGCTGCCTCCAGAATGACTGACAAGAACTAGAATCAAAGTGCTATTTATTATTCTATTTTAATTTACACTTCAAATTGTGTCTAATTTATTAATTTTGAGCTTGATCATAATACAAGGCAAGATGTGACAAGAAATTTAAATAAAAAACATAGGCCTATTCAATTCTCTTCTCTTCTCCACAACTTTATCATACTCATACAACAACATAATCATACTCATAGGCCTACACACTCACATCCCACAAACAAAAGTATATGCAGTGGTCATTGGTGTAGGAAGTGGGGTAAGGAGGGGTAGTCTGACATGGGAAGCAAAATGCACAAAGCAGAGTTATACTACGAGACAACACTAACCCTACTAGCTGTGGCACTGCATGAATGATACTAGTATTAATGTCATTGATACTCTCTAACCTTAAGTTATGAGTTGAGTTATTTTCATTTGGCTAACAAGTCCCTGATTATTTCTTTCTCTTACCCATCATAACTAAATTAAATTATGAGGTCGATATTGGGTGGCGCCAGAAGCTCCTTAAACATATTACATGATTATTAGTAATATGAAGTGTCTACATATCTGGAGACCAGGCGAATAAGTTCTTGAGATATTATTCTGGTTATTTTGTATTGGGCCATGTCACACAACCGCAGTAACAAAGTTGCACAAGATATTTGTCTGTCAGCCTTGTCACATGACCGCTAATAGTCGATCAGAGTTTACTTCATTTCAACAAATTCAAGATAGTCTGGAAATGTACATGAAAAATAAATAGGCTCAAATCGACAAAATAAATACTAGAACAATTGCTGGGAGATATAATAAATAAATAGTTAAAAAGTGACAATGTTAAAATAAGCGTGGCATGCCCGCCGGGTGAATATCTCCAGAACTATATGTCCGGTCGCCAGAAATGTGTAGACACTGCCTTAGTAATATTAAGTGCAATTAATATTAAGTAAGATTAAGTGCAATGCTTCTTTTCTCACGTTGGCTTATGCAAGGATCAGTATAGCCTAAGCCGTAAACAGGATTTAAGCTCTTAACATAATTCTGGATGAATTTAGCAACTTTATTGCCCTTGCCTCTTCTCTTGTGTAGTCTCAGTTGCAGAAGTAGAGCACAATGCCTCTTCACTTCCTGACATCCACCTTAGCATGATTCAGACTTAATGCAACAACTTTATTTTATCGATCAGGCACGTAAGACCCGCTTTCCCCACTTAGTCTTGTTGTAGAGGTTTTTTTACGTACTGGCATTTCTGCACACCAGTTATATAGTCATTTATTAGATATTTCAATATATTTTATAGAGTAAGTTTTTATCCAATATGTCGCAAAAAATGGTGTGTTGTCGGGGAAATAGGAAGTGTACAATTTACATGCACATAAACACATAAATTTAGCCTTAGGAATCTATAGTTATTCTAAGGCAGGGGTCGGGAACCTATGGCTCATGAGCCAGATGTGGCTCTATTGATGGCTGCATCTGCCTCGCGGACAAATGTTCAATTATATAAAAAAGTCGCATTAATGGTAAGAAATACTCATTATTGATTAGCAATAGCATAACAATATTATTAAAAAGAATTCAGAGACCTAATTATTGCATTTTTAGTGTTGAAATTACACAAAATGCACACATTTACTTGAATTTTTAGTTTTAAACATAATGTATGGCTCTCACAGAATTACTTTTCAAAATATGTCGTGTCCATGGCTCTCTTAGACAAAAAGGTTCCCGACCCCTGTTCTAAGGGCTTATCCTGCTCTACAGATTAACCTCTTATACTTATTTTGGTTTTAGTAGAACCTACGGCTTGGCCTACTCTCCTATCCTTATATCTGTGGGCACATTTACTTTTATTTGTTCAACTCCGTTTTTATTCTGTATTTCATTTGAAACAGATATTGTAAGCCAGCTTTGCTTGTCAAGGCCAGTTTTGATCTGCCACACACAATTTTTTTTTACACTTCATTTTTTTTCTTGACCTATTTAAAGTCTATTTCATTATTATTTTAAATAGCATTTTTCAAAATTCAGCTCCTTTATTTTTAGACGATATAAAACTGAGAACATGTCAGTGGTAAGATTTTATTGTTTTAAGTTTTGCTCCTTGTTCTGCATCATGGTTGCATTGCTGAGTGTACCAAGCCAAAATGAACTAAGGTGACATGGGTTGTTTTCACAAAGACTAATTATTACAGTTTAGGATAGAGCATTGTGTTCATGCTTTTCAACTGTCTTGTCTGGTAAGAGAGGTTACATACATGTGTAATAGCCTTCAAACATACTGCCCTAGGCTTAATGAAAATAGTGATACAGATGGCTAAATTACACTATTAAAATTAAAGATTGAAGAAAAAAATTAAGATTACCAGGAATTTTGTTTCTTATATTTCATTTCTTTCTTTCTTTATATCTACAGGAGTTGTTGCAGCTGGAAAACCTTTGTAAGCAACTTTATGAGACTGCAGATGGAAATATCCGTGCTGAAGCTGAGAAGGCTCTTGTTTCATTTGCAAACTCTCCTGATTGTCTTAATAAGTGCCAACTTCTTCTTGAACGGGGAAATGTATGTTCAAAAAAATATTGCTTCACACATTATTATTACATGACGCAAACCAGGATCACTTTAATATATTATAAATATGCAAAAAATTATGAATAATAATTCCAAATGAGTTTGCTTCAACCCTTAATTGTGAAAATACATATGTGTAAATTAAAGCACTTTTGTCCTATTCTCATTAAATTTTGAATTTTTGTTTAGTGATTGATAATTTTGTCTATATCACCACAGCATTTCCATCTAAAGAAACAACTTAGCCTTGTGAATAAACAATGGAAGATTAGGATTAACTGTGTCATATTTTACAATAGATGGACACTTCATAGTGTCTTATATAACTCTGCAAAATTTGAAAAAAACAATTTTTAATATTGTCAGTGCACATTTTACAGCTCAGTAAAGTTTTTTTTTTAAATTTTTCGTTGATCATATTTTTAACCTGTGCAATAGTGACATGCAGAAAAAAGTCAATTTTTACCTAATGTATTTTTTACACCAGTCTGCATATGCTCAACTCCTTGCTGCAACTACTCTCACAAAAATGGTTTATAGGCCCAATGTAACACTGCCTCTTGAACAACGAATCGATATCCGTAAGTATATTTTTTCATGGTGATCTGAGACTTTTTTATATATTTTTTGTTTAAGACTCTTATGGTTATTGCTGAATTAAAAGCCTTTGCTACATCTTATTATTTGTACTGTCTTTATTTCAGGAAATTATGTTTTGAACTATCTTGCCACTAGAACAAAGCTAACACACTATGTCTCACAAGCACTTGTTCAGGTAAGATGTTAGGTACATGGGCAGTTACACTAAGCTTTGAGCAGGTGATAAACTTGCAAGAAATCAAACTAGTAACTGAAATGCTAATAATCTCTATAAAGAGGAATTAGTTATCTCTAACGCATTAGTCATAATAATATTTGTGTAATTTCACTGTCTTCTTCTCATTTACTAACCTTTACATTTAAAAAATAATTCCATACAGCTGTTTGCAAGAATTACAAAGTACGGGTGGTTTGATGTGAATAAAGAGGAATTTGTTTTCCGCAATGTTGTCACAGATGTTGGAAAATTCATTCAGGTATAGTGGTGTTTTCAGTTCCAATGCCTAGCTAAATAAAGTAACTGATTAATTATGGTTATTAAGACTATGTAAAAATTTATTCTGTTAACATATCGTCTGTTATCAATAATTTATTTTTTGTCCGATATCATGATCCAAAAGTTCAATATTTACTTACAGAGTGGATCTACACACCATGTAATGATTGGTGTACAGCTTTTGTCTCAGCTGGTCTGTGAAATGAATCAAGTCAGTGAGGTGAGAGAAGCTATCTTTTAGTCACTTGTAGTGTACTTTCCTACAATAAACAAGTGGAAAATGACCAATCATATTATTGATTGGATCACAGGATCTAGTCATTGAGAATTCAGTTACTGATATGTATAGTTGATCTAATTTTTTTTTAATTTGCTATTTGATTAGTATTTAACACATTGCAATGTTTCAATAACATTAAAATTGCTTAATTTTAAATTTTCAGTCAGAAGCCAGTCGTTCACTAACCAAACACAGAAAGATTGCTTCATCATTTAGGGACACTCAACTATTTGAAATTTTTCAATTATCTTGTTCTTTGTTACGCTCAGCTGCTGGGAATCTCAAATCTCTTGATTTCAGTGACAGCAATCAGGTAGATTCAAAAGTAAATGCTTCATATTCTATTTTTTTTCTACATTAGCTCTTTAAAAAATAAAAATGATCAAGAGTACCAGTAACCTAAGAAATGGTATGTTTAAGTAAATAAGTTTTCATTCAGGAATTCGCAGTTTTAACCCTATAACTGTCATAACGGCTGGTAATCGGCCGTTGTACCCCTTTCTGTGGTGTCGCAGCCAATACAGTTGGTCGCTAGCAAAATCTTCATTAAAAATGTGAATTGATTTAATGTATATTGTTAAAGGGGAAATCACTCTATATAAATGAGTTTACTTCCTATTTCCGTTACTATCTGTTCTTTGTGTTTATGTGCTTTTATCTGGGATTTTTTTTTTTTTTTTTTTTTTTTTGTGAATCATCATTAGTGAAATTTTCTCAGATGTTTTGACCGCCATAATGCCTGAAAGGCCCCCATTCAGTTATTGACAATTTTATCCCTAAGCTTAGTCGTACATTACAGAAAAATATTTTTTTTTTTTTTTTTTTTTTTTTTTTTTTTTTTTTTTATGTTCTTTTTTCTGGGTTTTTTTTTTTTTTTTTTTTTTTTTGTGAATCATCATTAGTGAAATTTTCTCAGATGTTTTGACCGCCATAATGCCTGAAAGGCCCCCATTCAGATATTGACAATTTTATCCCTAAGCTTAGTCGTACATTACAGAAAAATTTGTTTTGGAAAGGGTGGAAATCGAACAGAAAATAACAGATTTGATATGTTCTGGAGTATTGATTAATATAAAATGGTTTTAATAACTTCAAATGAAAATTTTATAAATCTCATTTCATTTGACTCCCCCCCCTCGCCTGTATGACATAATTTTGAAGTTAGGGAATGACAAAATTCACCAATATCACAATTTTCCATATAATTAACTACAACTTGTCATTTTCAGAAAGAATATTGCTCCTAGTATCTCTCAAAGACTTGATTTTTATAATAGTTTGAAGAATTTATTGAATATTTAGGGTGGGTTGAATTCAGAAGTTCAGTACTAAAATTTTACTCACTCTGTAAAGGTCATGGTCAATATTAACATGCATAATATACTAAAACACATTTTTTTCATACCATAACATAACTTGTCCTATGTACTTTCAGAAAATGTGTATTTGTAAGGGTCTCTGAATTCATTTAGTCTGGGATTTTTGTAATTTTTAACAAGTATGTGAAATTGCTAAAAATGGCTTCATGCTTATAGAAAATTGTTCTTGACAGTTATAGGGTTAAAATTGTTACAATAACATCTTTGCAAATTGACATTTTGTGTTTTGGTTAGATCTTCAAAACTAAATTAATTTTTATTTTTTTGACAGCATAGTCTGTTGTCTCATTCATTGAGGCTTGCTCATAATTGCCTGACATTTGATTTCATTGGTACATCAACTGATGAATCTTCAGATGACTTGTGTACTGTTCAGATTCCAACAAGTTGGAGAACAGGTTTGTAATGACATTAAATGAACTGGATACTTGATTATTCTTTATTGTTAGCTGAATTTTAAAGGGATAGAGTAATTCAATTAAGTTTGTTAGAGACCATAGATTTGTTATTTTATTTCTTAATCATGGTAATTGGAACTATAATTGTTCATTTTTTTCCCTATACAGCATTTTTGGATGTCAGTACCCTAGAATTATTTTTTGACTTATATAGTGGCCTGCCTTCATCATTGTCTTCTTTGGTAAGCAATGTGTTAAAGTTGATACATGTAATCGCTTAAACATTGTTACAAATTATATTTTGGATTGATTAGTTCTGACTCTAGCATATTGATAACATTTTCATACTATTGTATCGTTTGAAAAGTTTATGGTGTTACCAATTTTATTTTAAGCTATTACAATGGTATCAATTATTATATTTATTCTCCCTTTTTTTTCAGGCTATCTCATGTTTGGTGCAAATCGCCTCTGTTCGGCGGTCGCTATTCAACAACACAGAGAGAGCTAAGTTCATTAATCATCTTGTTATGGGTGTGAGGAGTATTTTGGATAATCCTCAGGTAAGTTAACTGATGTACAAACATAACATTTAAAATTATATTTATGTTTACTGCTTTAAAGAAAATATTAAGAAAATCTTAAATTTTCATCTCGTCAAAATATTTTTAAAACAATATGTTTATGACACTGAATTAAAGCCAGTGATGTTTTAAATATTGTGAAATTAAATTTGCTCAATTGTATAAAAAATATTTGATCTTTTCTTTATAGAGCTTGGCTGACCCTGGAAATTATCATGAGTTTTGTCGTCTTTTGGCTCGTTTAAAAAGTAATTACCAGCTTGGGGAATTGGTGAAAGTTGACAATTATCCTGAAGTCATCAAACTGATAGCTGAGTTTACGATAACAAGTCTAAGGGTACTTACCTCTGTTTTCATATTTGAATGTTTTCATGCATAGAGATTTTAAATTTAGATGAATTCTAATTTTGAACACATTTTTTGAAAGTTTGTAAATATTTGATTGCTTTGGTTTTGAGGTTTATTTTCTTACCTTTACATAATATGTTTCTATTGTGTTTTTATCAATTATAACAAGTATTTTATTGTCACTTGTAAAAATTTTGAAGTAATTTACACCACATTTTAACATTTAAAGAAGAATTTAAATTAGAAACTGATAAGTTTAAAAAAATAAATAAACGAGGCAAATCTTAATGGTAAATTAAAATATGAATTTTGATCAGAAACATGTGAAACATGAATGTATTTTTATCCCATAGATGTGGCAGTTTGCACCAAATAGTGTTCATTATTTACTGAGCCTTTGGCAACGTATGGTTGCATCAGTACCATATGTAAAGGCTACAGAGCCCCACATGCTTGAAACCTATACTCCAGAAGTTACCAAAGCCTACATTACTTCACGTTTGGAGTCAGTGCATGTCATTGTAAGGTAATATATGAGTTTTAATAAAACCATTCAACAAACTAATTAAAGCAATGACACGTAGCTATACAAGCATACCCATCCTTCTCTTGTTGAATCCGCTGTCCAGACTTTGCGGGGGTGCATTGATGTTGTCAAGTCATGGATGACACTCAGCAAGTTGAAGCTTAATGATGAAAAAACAGAAGCACTCCTCATCCACAATCACACATCATCCTCTACCTCAACTCTTCCTACCTCATTTCAAGTAGGTAACTCTGACGTACGATTTACACCCTCTGCTAGGAATCTTGGTTATATTCTTTCTAACAACAAGTCTCTTGATAAACACATATCTCACATTTGTCGTTCAGCGTACACCACTATCCGTCAGATCAGCTCCATTCGCCACTACCTCACAGTTAGCGCTACAAAAACTCTAGTCTGTGCTCTTGTTCTCTCTCATCTTGACTATTGCAACTCTCTTCTGTCAGGTTCACCAAAACACTGCATAGAAAAACTGCAGAAAGTTCAAAACTCAGCTGTTAGGCTAGTTTTAAAGGCAAAAAAACGTGATACATCACTCCACTACTCCATTCCCTTCATTGGCTACCTATACAGGCGCGCATTTACTACAAGTTGTCTGTTCTCTGTCACAACTTTTTCTTGGATTCCTGCCCTTCATATTTAACTGAACTTCTTTCTGTCTATTCACCCCTTCGACAGCTTCGCTCCTCTGCAGACATGCGTATTCTGTCCGTTCCCAAGACACACACTAAAACATAGGGTGAACGATCTTTCTCTTTCTGCGCCTCCCAACAATGGAATTCTTTGCCACTACACATACGCAATATACCAACCACCCAGGCCTTCAAAACTGCACAAAAAACATATCTTTTTAAATTATACTACCCTAACTGATTCCCCTCCTCTGACCGATAAATGATCTTGCTGGCTGCCGTCCATGGTTTGCCTTGTAAAAGTTATGTGATGGGGTGGGTGAATATACATTGCTGTTCTTTATTTCATAAATGTATTTTATTTTAATGTCATGATTATATCTCTTGATAAAAATTTTTATGTACAGCGCGGTGAGCCCAGCCCTAGGCTGGGGTACCGCGCTATATAAAACCTCTTATTATTATTATTATTATATAAAACATAATGTTGAAGTACAAGAACATATATTCAAATAAGAGAAATTGTTCTGGCATATATCTATGTTTGTAATTAATATATACTTGTATATAAAATTACAAGGAGAATCGTTTGATAATTATTTAAATTAATAATGATATTTAAGTTCCCATCTATTTACAGAGATCAGATAGAAGATCCACTAGATGACCATGGAATGATAGCACAGCAGCTTGAACAGGTGAGTCAGTCCACATACAATAATTTAATTAAATAATTATATATAAGCTGCGAGTTAAAATATTGCAAGATTTTGTGAAATAATATAATTATTAAAATCTATGAATTTAAATAAATACAGTCCCTTGTTTTGAATAACTAAATTGTGTTGGCAATCCACTTTCCACTGCATAGAAATCATAAGTAAACAGATTTTACTATCTACATCTTGTTCCATTTGAGACCTGTTTAAATTGTCCTGCTTCATAATTATTTTCAATTATTACATTTCATTCAAATCTTATTTTTGTTATTAATAATACCGGTATGTTGAAACCAGGGGCTCTTAACAAGAGTCCTGCACCCTGGGTGGGTGCGGGAGGCATTGTTAAGAGATGTAGGAAGACCTAGACAGTTATTTTGTATATTTATTAACATTTTTTTTTCGTGAGGTTGGGGGATCTGTGTTTTGCAGGAAATGCATTTTAAAGCATGATGAAGTGCAGAGCTGCAAAAAGGTTGAGAACTCCTGGTTTAATTGAGTCGTTTCCAGTGTTTTACAAAATATTGATATTTTTTTGTGTTTCATGATTATTTTTTTAAGCTCTCAACCATTGGGCGATGTGAATATGAAAAGACTTGTTCCCTTTTAGTGCAATTATTTGATGAATCAGCTCAAAGATATCAAGAAAGGATGTCAGGAGGCCCATCTGTTGAACTTGCCATTGAGGAAGGTAATGGAAGCGTCCTTTCTTACAACATTGTTAACTTAAATAGATCCAGGCCTGAGATATTTATCAAATTTTGTTCTTTTACAGGTCGTCTGACATGGCTGGTTTACATAATTGGATCCGTGATAGGAGGTCGTGTGTCATTTGCGAGTACAGATGAACATGATGCAATGGATGGTGAACTTGTTTGCAGGTTAAATTAAAGTTATCACGCACTACATTTATGAATGACTAAAAGTATATTTTATGCCTTTTTTTTTAATTTATGCATTTTGGATTGTAAATAAATGTTTTTAAAAAATGCAGTGATCATGAAAGTTGCATATAAAGGGCCATCCATAAAGTATATAACCAATGAGGGAGGAAGGGGGTTCTGTCGATTTTTGAAAATTGGCATATGGGATAAGGGGGGTGGGGTGGTAGAAAGTATGTACATTTATTTAAAAAATTCTTCAATAATTATCCTGAGATTCTGACTGTCCAAAAATAGCATATTTATATCTCAAATGCTGTAAAAATATCATGCATGTTTTAATTACTGTCATAATGTTGTCATGTATCTTCATAAATAACCTCGCTAGATATCGCTTTGATAGTACTCAGTATTAAAGGTATTAAAGTAATATTTAGTCCACCGTATGTTCAATGTTCATGTGATGTATATTTTGTTGGGCTATGGCAGTGGTTCCTAAAATTTGTTGACTCGAGGGACCTATCCAAAATTTAGTTTTTTTACCAAGCACCCTGTGTTAAATTCTAACAAGTATGCTTGGATATAGCGAAGTTATAAACAAAATAAAATTAACGGGTAAAAATAAATGTAACATGTATGTTGGTCACTAAGTGTCACATAGTAACTGAAAACAGTAGTTACTTCGGTGGATTACATTTCACAGACGCTGGGTGTCACATTGACTTAATAGTGGAAATAAAATTATACTTTGCAATGACTCTCTGGCCCCCCTTCTGTTTTCGAAGTTTATAAGATTTTATAGTTTAATTCACTATTTCGGCCAACTGCTTTTCTTCACCCCATTGTCATGCCCCTGCCTGAGGGCAATGTGGCAAACTGGGCTTGAAAGGCAGTGAAAACGATGACACATTTCCTTACAATGACTTCACAGTTATATAAAGATTATTGGATTTTGCTGGTAGTTGTTTGTTTGTTGTTTTTTTTTTTGTGGGAGTGGGGGGTTTGGCAGCCGGAAACTTATTTTATTTATGCATAGTGGGGCCATCAAAAAAAGTATGCATACAGGAAGGTGGTGTTTGGGGGTCAAGAAATTTGACTTTGGTTATCTACTAGATTGATGGCCCCCAAAGTTGCTCCAAGTGTACACAGTACTTTTTTAAAATCAGATTGTTTCATTGCTATTATTTTCTGAAAGTTTGAGAAACCCTGACTTTTAAATAAATGTCTGATGTTAGAAAATTATCTAATTAGGGTGCTTCAGTTAATGAACCTAACAGACTCCAGACTTGCCCAAGGTGGTTGTGAGAAATTGGATCTTGCCATTCTAAGCTTCTTTGAGCAGTTCAGGAAGATTTATGTAGGGGATCAAGTACAGAAAACTTCAAAAGTGAGTCTTGAATTTCTTCCACTTTGCTACATGGGTTTCAATGTTTGGTGTCTTGACATTGGTGTTACTTACTTGTGGGATAAAATTGTTCTTGGTATGTCACATGGTTCATAAGAAAAAGTTTAAATCTTACAGGTATACACTGAGATATGTTTTACTGTAAAATTTAAATAAACTTATCACATTTCTGAAGTTATTATCAGAATAATATCTTTATTTGGCAAGCATTAAATTGCATAAAATGAGAAGATTTCACTTCATTTAAAATGCTCAACTTTTTTATATGGAAATAGTTATGAATAATTTCATGTAGCAGCAATTATACATTTTTAAAAAGTGAAATATATCCCAAAGCCCCATTAAGTATTTGTGATCTCTTAGTCTGTGTATTAACTATTTGGCCCATTAGTGTCCAACAGTTAGATTTTGCGCAAGTTTATGGAATGAGAGAACTCCTTACGTAAGGATATATTTTACAGAGTTGCCTAATAAGTTTTATTTTAATCAACTCCCTAATCAATGCCATCAGTTTCTAGAGTAAGGACAAAAATTTGTGACATTACATGTTAAGATTATCATCCATTTTGCCAAATTGAAACTTAAAAGTAAGTTAAGATAAGATTCTAAACAAATGGAAATGTGTATTATTACATTGTAATTGTACATATTCATTTTCAGCCCAAAAATAAATACTTATTTTAACCAAGACAACATTTTACAATAATAAAAAATTAAACAAAAAAACATCTAAAGGAAGAAAATTTGCCTTGAATTGAACTTGATGAGGAACATGGTTGATACTGTCAAGGCAATAGGGGCGTGCATTATGTATACGTTTCTAAATTCATTTTTATTTGGCAAAGAAGTTATTCAACATATTGTACATTAGTCAGGCCTTATGGTGTCCTACAATCAGTTGACAGCTGAAGCTATGCACTCTTTTTGTACATTGTATAGTTTTTGCTGGGTAGCATTATTTTGTAACAGTATTTTATCTAACCAATTTAACCAGCTTGTGTTTCTTTGTCTTCTACTGACAACATTCTTTTTTTTTTTTAAAGCTTCAATTTATATTATTTTTTTATCTATTTTTGTGCGACAACTCTTACAGTAGTTATACTCATATAAAAGTCAGTATGTATTATAAAGAAAAAAATTCTCAGCTTCTTTAAATTACGTGCCTTTCCTCACATTTCAGTAATGTCTTAAATTTATTACATAATTAGTTATTAACTAGCTATAGCCGGCCAAACAATGGCGCTGCAATCTGTGAGCTTCCCATCTTCTAATGTTACTTTTTAAAACATGCATTCTGGTAATGCACTTTATAACATACTCAATTTAAGCTACACCCCCTATGTATGCAACCGCCTCTAAACTATGTTAATATTCTAATATCTCACCCCTTTTACACCGCAGATTTATTACACTATTTCCATAAAACAAAAGAAAATTAATAAGCACTAAACACTCTTGCAGTAATTTTAAGCATCTCATTTAGCGCAGATATCAGGAATTTTATGTAGTGATATCTGCCCATCCGGTGTCTATGGTTACATTGTTACATAGAGAATTATGTATCTTGAGTTTTCATTCAATGACATACCATGGGTTTACTTTCAGGTGTATCGACGCTTGTCTGAAGTCTTAGGACTCAGTGATGAATCCATGGTTTTAAGTGTTTTCATTGGAAAAATGTAAGCTTTGATTTGACTGTTATTGCTGCATGTAATTTTTTTTGTGTACATTTGCCAATCTTTAAAAAATCTCAGCACCAGGCTAATTCTGACCAAGATTGTCTCTCATATTTTTTATTGTTGTTATTAATTTATTGAAAGCCATTCAAAAAGTTATTTCCTTATCATTGATTATTGTAAAACAATATTATCTATTAATATCATGGTTTCTTATTTTGATAATTTGAATACAGTAGTTTCTAAAACATTTTTCAGCATCACAAACTTGAAGTACTGGGGCCCGAGTGAGCAAATTATTTCAAAAACTCTCCAGTTACTTAGTGACCTGTCTGTTGGCTACAGCAGTGTCAGAAAACTGGTCAAATTGGAAGCTGTACAGTTTTTGCTAAATAACCACACGGTCAGTATAAACAAGTGGCTCGGTTTGAAAAATAAAAAATAAAAAATTTTATCAGTATTTTTCCAAGTTTATCTTTGGACGTTAAATAATGTTGCATCTACAAGAAAAGTTACTTTGATTTGTGTATGTTTATTTTGAGACCATGAACCTATATCAGTTATAATCTTGTGTCTTTATTTATGCATTTATCAATTGTTGTATTTAAGAGTGAACATTTTCCTTTTCTTGGAATCAACACTGGTAATGGAGCCCCCAGTGATATGAGATGCAGAACAACATTTTACACTGCTTTGGGGAGGCTGCTGTTGGTAGATCTAGGAGAAGATGAAGAGAGATTTTATCGGTTTATGTTACCCCTTACATGTAAGAAAAACTGTCACTGTGGCTATGAGTTTTTGTCTTTAATTTTTCTAATATCCTAAAGTTAACCCAGCACTTGTGCAACCGCATGCTGCCTTCATGGACATATAAATGTTAGTTAGCCTACTCTCTTATAGAGAATGGGGTTGTAGGGTTGGTATTTACTGAATGCAGCCTCATAGACACTTCAGTGTGGCCTAAGATAGCAAAATTATTTGGAGACATTTGGATTCTGGCATATGTTAAAGTTTGCTGAATGTTGCCAAAGTAGTTCAGTTATCTTTTTATATCCTTTATCTTAACTTTGCATTTATTCGTGGCTGGCTGGCACAATCTTTGGATGGCTAATTGACCCACTTCCCATCAACCTATCGATCTGAAACTTGGCGCATAGACTCGTTGACGTTGACAGCATATTATGTCAAATTGTACTGTTTTTCAAGGGGAACATAAAGGAAATATGTTGACACTGATTTCACGAAATAAAATTCCAAAAACTGCGCAAAATGAGATTCCTAAAAATAAAAAAAAATGATGCAAGTGCATTTGGTGCTTAATATTATCTTTCTTTTTTTTTTAAATAGTTGGTGAAATAAATCTGTAGTGAAAAATCAGGCGTGAAACAAATGTGTGCTGCGAGCCTTGTGGGGTGGGTGGGCTCTAATTGGAATTCTTATTACGTGCGTTACTGGTCAGAATGTTTTGTCAAATTTTCAGCCTCACCCCCCATTTCTCGATATTACATTTTCTAAAGGATTTATACAATAAAACTTTGTTTTTAGGAGTTGTCTCCCTCTTCTGAGGCCAAGACAGTAGTTATCCATCACAACATTTTGTGTCATCAATTTTAATAGTCATCATACATAGATAAGATCAAAGGATTTCTATTATTATTTTTTTTAAATAACACAAATTAGCATTCCATGGTAAATTTTTAATCCTTATCAAATGTTAATCCACTAGCACATTTTGAAACTGTTGGTGGTCTGTTAGCAAATGCTAATCTGTCAATCAACATGGAAGAAGCAAAGGTAAAAAAAAACAACATTTTTCTAATTACAAAATATTGAAAAGAGGAATTAGTCTATAACTAATAACAAGTAAATATTAACTTTTTTTTTTTAAGGGTCTTGCACCCACTCCTATTCTTTTCTATTATTTTGAGGTGGGATATGCGCATAAATATATTAGGCATTTGCCAAAACGTTTACATTTGTATTCTGTTTGATTATGAATAAAGCTGAATTTATATTTTTTTATTTACACACATTGTTTGTGTCTAATTAATCTATAACAAGAAAATGCCATTGTCCATTTAACTGTTAACTTTTCGACTGTAAACTAAAAGTAAGAAACTAGAGACTTAAAAGTAGTAAAATTCAACACTACACACTTATCATTTGAATGCAATTGAAATGGTATTAGTTTTTGAAGCTTTCAGTTCCAATATATGCCAGTCACAAATGTTTTTATTCAAAGTTTGATGCAAATAATTATAAATATTCTCTTCTACTGATTTGTTGTTAGAGATCCTTGATTGGTTTAGCCAGGGACTTGCGTGGTATCACCTTTGCCTTCAGCAACAAGACAAGTTACATGATGCTATTTGATTGGATGTATCCTTTTTATTAATTTTTTAACTGAATAATAACACTTCAAAAATTATTTGAAATAATTTGATAGGAGTAGGGGCTTTTTCCCCCGGGAAATAACCTGGGGCTTTATCACTTGGAGACTGCTCCTGGGGCTCAGTCATTTGGGGACTGCTTTGAGCTCCAGTAAAATTTTATTTTAAAAAAAAATGGGAGCCAAAATGTTTTTCTAAAAATAAGAAAATGTGCAGTACAAATCAAATACATTATTTTTACTAAAAAGCCCCTCCCCCCCCCCCCCCCCCCTCCTTATCCTACTCTATTATTCAATAAATACCTGGAGACCAGAGGGGAGCTGGAATGAAACAGAAGGAGCAACGTGGAGAGGCCAATAAAGGCCTGTTCCAAAGCCTGGTTTGTGACAGCTGAAATACCATTCCACCTTATACCCAGGCATTTCTAAAAATAAGTTGTCCAGTCGATTACAGCACAGTATAACTATAGATAGTTTAATATTAATCAAGAAGGAACATATGTGCCCCCACTTACCTTACCAATTAAGTTTGCTTTTTGGTCCACAATTATAAGTCATTCAGATCTTTATTATTGAAAAATTTAGTTGACCGCTGTGTTTAAATAATGCACCAACAACAAATGGAAGTATATTTGTGTTCATGTCAACTTAAAATGATTTGAGACTTGAGAAAGCAGTGTTTGACACCTGAATGGCACAAGTTGTGTTAGACACCTGAAGGGCACAAGAAGTGTTTGACACCTGAATGGCACAACCAGTGTTTGACACCTGACTTGTTATACAAATAATCTGGAGTACAATTTTACCTTAACCTCCCTCCCAGCTACCCAGCCTTCACACCAGTGTTACAGAGAGCAGTTGAGTTGTGGTACCATGACCCAATGGTTACAACACCTATCTTAAAATTGTTTACTGAACTAGCTCAAAACAGGTCATTTTGGAAATTTATTTCTATATTTTTATGTTTATATTTAAAGAACTTTAACAGTTAATTTAAATGAATAGCTGGAGTAGATATGCATGTTTCTAGTTGGTTGAAATCTATAATTAACATTATTTGATGAGATTCTCTCATACTATAATTCTTATTGAAAATGTATTGTATAGAGTTCTTCATCCCTAAATAAAGATTCACAAAAGTATACTTAATCATATTAGCTCTGTAATTTGATTGCATATTTTCAAATTTCATAAAGGTTAAGTCATAAGTATTGTAGTCATTATGTAAATCTTGTTCACAGATCACAGCGTCTTCAGTTTGATGTTTCTTCTCCCAACGGCATCTTACTCTTCAGGGAAATAAGCAAGATGGTTGTTTGTTATGGTATGGATTATTTCATAGATAATTTTTTTACTCTTGTGTATCTTGAAAACAGACTGGCATAAATTAAGGATAGTTTTTTGTTCCACTATTGGCTTAAGTTAAAAATGTTTATTGTTTTAATTAATATTAGAAAGCCTACTGTAAAACAGCTTAGGTTTCTCTTCCTTTTTAACTGAAATAAATTTTCTAGTCAATATTGTAATATCTGAGTTAAAAGGGCTAGTTAATTATTTTCTTGCGAACAAGATAAACTCCATCTCTTCTTTATTAATCATTTTTTTTAAATAACTAAAACTATGTTTATGAAATATTACTATATTTCTATCCAGGTTCAAGAATCCTTACAATAGGTGACATTCCAAAAGACAGAATTTACCCAATGAAATATCCTTTAATTAAACACTTGGCCAAGAAATATTTTCACATAAGGACAATTTTTTAAAACAAAATTTCATTTACAACATCAGACACATATCTATGCACAATTCTACAACAATGTATTCCTTCCCTGGTGATGTGTAGGTTTTCCCAGTAACTTTTTCACATTAAAAGTTAAATATAAAAATTAGGAATAATGTTGTCATTGTTACATGTGATGTTACGTTTATATATGATTCACTTATTAAATTGGTTTAATTTGTATATACTTTTCCATTTATAAGTTACATTACTAACCTCACACTCAGGAGACATAGGCACAGCTATTTCCTTAACCACTCTTTTAAGTTAAAGGGAATCTCTATATGTTTTTCAATGCTGAAAGCGGCGCTGTGTGGTAATTATGTCAATTTTGGTGTGTTCCGGTTATATGGAGATGGTGCTCTGGATGATGTTTTATCTATGTTTGTTAAGCTGCTACTTTCTGTGCCACAGAGTGATTTGCTGGTAAGTGACTTGTGGATGAATCCTGATTGGAATTTTATGCAAGGAAACTTTGAAAAAAATTATATTTCCCAATTTTAAGTTGTCATTATTTTTAGTAGAGCTGTTCATAGTGTTGCTAACAAGATAAATCAATCTTTTTACCCCCAGGACTATCCAAAGTTAAGTCAGAACTACTACGGTTTATTAGAGTGCCTGGCACAAGATCACATGTCATTTATTAGTAATCTAGAACCACAAGTGTTTCTTTATTTGTTATCATCCATCAGCGAAGGTCTCACCGCATTAGGTAAGTTTTCTCTAGCAATACTTCAACTTACAATTGATTTAAAAACGGATCATATGTTTTTTAATAAAATCTTTATATATATATATATATATATATATATATATACCGGTATATATATTTCAGTTTATTAATTAACTTGTGAAAAAGGTGTTAAGATCTAAAAGTAACATTTTTTAAAAGTCAGAACTGCTTCAAATTGACTCTTTAAACCAGGCTAACCAATGGTTGGCATTTAAAAAAATAAAATAAAAAATTAATTGAATAAAGTGATCATCTTTAATTCAGCCAAGGTGTAACTTGAATGTTTGGATAACTACTATCGACTTTTTCTCTACGGCTAGTATTAAAAATCAGCTTTAAAAAGACATTCTCATTGTTTTTCCTGATCAGCCCTGGTTCCCAAACACATGGGTCGAGACCCAAAATGGGGTCGTGGAGGGCTTTCTATTAGTTTGCCAGCTGTGACAATAAACTAAAAAAATAATGAATTTAAAGAAATGAAAATTTTTTTATTGGTGTCCTAATAAAAGTTTTAAAATTTCATACAGCATCTATTTTCTATGTCTTTTCTCCTATTATATTAATACTTGTATAATGTATCTGGGTAAGGGTCACTTTGATTATGTAAGATGGGGGTCTTCGATTACTTATTCTATACATATGGGTTGCAAAGGTTGGAAATGTTATGGCCTTCTTTCATTGTCTACTACCTCCGATAGCAAATACTTGATGTCTAATCTTATGGCAGACCTGTTTGATGAATTCTCGTCTCTCTCTTGGTCAAGTAACTCAAACACTGAATAGTTCATTGTCAATTCTGTATTTGTTTCTATGTACTAAAACATCAACTTGGTACATAATACATCTGGCAGAGAAATATCCTCAGGCAACAAGCCCCACAGCGAATCTAACAAATACTATCTCTCTCTCTCTCTCTCTCTGCTTGACTCTTGATTACTCTAATGATCTACTCTGGACTCTCTCAACTATCTCGCTTGTCTAACTCATCTCACTAATGACCAACTAACACACCGCTCTTTTATATCCCAACAAAACACTCAGCATACACTAAAGCTCAACACCACGAACCAACTTCACGCCCTGACCTCACGATCAACAACTCCCCCACAAACGTTCACAAAAATCTAGTTCACAACAGGAACCTGTATTATACAGTGTAATTATTTATTGACCCCCATTACTTGTATCTTTTATTCCCACAGATACATTGGTTTGTATTTATTAACCACCATTGTTTTATGTATTCCTACAGATACAATGGTTTGTACAGGGTGCTGTGCCACATTAGATAACATCATCACATACCTTTTCCGTCGCCTCATCAACAAGAAAAAGCAAACTCCTAACCAAATACCAGACAGTGAAGCATTCCTCTGCATATTAGAAGTACACCCCGAGATATTGCAGCAGGTAGGAATGGTTTGGAAAAACGTTCCACAAACTTTAGGAGAGGTTTGTCAACAGTCTGTAGCTTATTACAACGTCATGTGATATAGGGAGTCACCCAGCCTAATGATTATTTTATCCATTGTTGGACAGTCCATGTTTGCAATGCAATAAAGAAGCAATTTTTTGTGAAGATCATCGTTAACTCTTTTCTGTTGTTGCTAATAAATAGGGGGGGGGGGGGGGTTCCTGACACACCTCTTTTTAAAAAATTGTCATAGCAGTAAATTCATGCATCCCTGATTGATGTTAAGATTTCCTTTGTTCAGGCATTAAGATTTAAGAAGGCAGGAGGTGAGAATGATTCAAGCAAGAGGTTGGCTTTTAAGATTAAAAATGCATTGCAATATTTTAAAATGTGAAAACATGAAATTCCTTAATTTCCTTTTTATTTGCTAGCGGTACCAGTTACATAACTCAAAAGTTTCACAGAGAATTTAAAAAATCATTTTAAGGGGACTCCCTGTGTTAGTCTGTTATATGTCATTGTTTTAATTCACAAAGAAGTAAACAACGTTAAAGCTTGTCAACCTCAGAAAAGATTAACATTATTTGTAGGTCAAGACTAACATCCTAATTGTTTGTTTGTTTGTGTGTTCCAGTATTCATTTCATCTTAATTACAATATTAATGGGATAAATGCAGCTCTCTACCGTAGAGATATTTTAATGTAGCATGTTTTTATTTTTTTATGGAGATATGTATCACTCAAGCAAAGAAAGATTATTTTTATCTCTGCAGATGTTGTCAACAGTATTGAACATCATTATGTTTGAGGATTGTCGTAATCAGTGGTCAATGTCTAGACCTTTGTTGGGTTTAATTCTCCTTAATGAAGAGGTAAGCATTCAAAGTCTTTGCCCCCTTTTTTTAAATTGCTTTGTACGAGTTAGAAATAGTATCATTGAGTACGATGTCTTGATAAATATAAGCAAGACATCGTCATTAGACAATGGTTTTATTAAAAACAATGATAGCCGGTCTATACATGTCAAGAATGAACTTTTAGCATTATTATTTATAGTAATTAAAATGTGTTCTATAACAACTCATTCATCTGTTTGACATGTCTTACACCATTTTCCAAATGAGCATTCATGGATATTTTGTTGCAACATTTTTAAACAGCATTTTGATTCTTTTTCACTACAGTACTTCAACAAACTCAGGAACAATATTATATCAAGTCAACCTGCAGAAAAACAGGAAGGTATGGCCAACTGCTTTCAGAACCTCATGGATGGGGTAGAGAGGTCCCTCTTGGCCAAAAACAGAGACAGGTAAAGGGAAGAATTTATTTACAGAAAAGTTTATTAGACTTACTTTGATTCTATTGTAATTTTGATTCTATTGGCACCTTTCTCTTTTATATCTGGTGTGAGAGAGCTGCACCATTAATGCACCGCACCTTCCACCTGGAAGTTGATGGTCTGACCCAGGAGACCACTTTCAAACCCCTGATTGGGTGGGTCAGAGACTTGGGTGTTTCCTTGATGCCCGCCTTGCTTGGGTGTAAAAAAGTTGTGGTAGGGCTATGTTGGGGTGGAGGAGCATCATGTAGTATTTTAATAGATGTGAAAGGCTCAGTAGTTAACAACACAGAGATCAGGTTATTCTTTGTATCTTCTTATTTCCTGCCGGTTATCATTCATAGAATTAAATCTCATTATTCATTGGCTGGTAAAAAAATCTTCTTGTAAAGAGTTGAGCCACACGCAAACAAGTTTTTGTCTCTGTATTTCTGCAGGTTTACTCAGAATTTGTCTGTGTTTAGACGTGACATCAATGACTCTCTGAAGGCACCAAGCAACAGTCCCACTACAGACATGATGAATTATGGATAACATCCATTACTCCAGTTAGATTCCATCCATTTGTTGCTTGCTTGTTGTTTGCCACATGACAGCTGGTCATATTATTTTCTCTGTCTCTCCATCTGCTTACTTCAAAAGTGGAAAACATGTACAAAAAATAATCATCCTCTACTTTCATAGATCAATATTTTTGGATTTAACAAAAAATAAAATTAGAAAATGATCTGTTAATCCTTAAGCATTTTGTTATTTAATTCCTTTTTTAAAAATGAAATGCCCCATCACCTCTAATAAAGGAACAGTCAGTGCAAGAAAACTGTTGTACAATTACTTGTTATTGTGAAAGAATTTTTATGTACCGGTATTCATCAAAACTTTGGTATCTTTACAAAAAAAGTACATTATTTCTTGTAATTAGGTTTTTTGTGCAAGTTTTAATTAATGTTGTTTCATTTCCAATGGATACTTACTTTATACGGAACAAGTCGGCTTGCCAAATGTGAGGTCAAAATTTATTGAAAATATGTTTTAGAACGGCCATTATAGAAATATGTCTAGCTTGGAAGAAGTGACTGCTCTTACAATTAGAATTGATTTTGTTGTTATTGTTGCTAATTTCTCACCAAGTTGCAATCAAATAAGAAAATACTGCCATGTTTTATGACAGTCTTAAAAATGATGAGATTAGTGGTCATGAAGGTAGTTACATTTTGTGTGCTTAGTCTTGTGTTAAATGCGTTTAGATTTCTAGGGCATACCTTATCAAGGGATTTAGATAATGATAATATACAACTATTAATAGATCAATTCTTGTCCAGGCATTATAACTATTTTAGTTAAAGATAACATAAGAAAGTACATACATCCTTTTGAATGCTATTGTTGTTTAATTGCTTCAAACATTTGGTTTTCTGAGGTAAACAATTCTCTCACACAAAAGATTGCTTGTAGCTGTGGCCTTGACTTTGTTGTTTTTGCCTCCCAGAGTATGCTCCCCTGTGGGGTTGCCTGTCTGTCATTTCTTTCATAAAATAACCTAGACTTCTACATCACTTTTGTCATATTCAATATTTCTATAGATCAATTAAAAATTAATTCATCCCTGGGGACAAAATCAGAAAAAAAGCTCCAAATGGAAATGCTGTGTGCTCATGTCCAGTCCAATGTTCTAATTGAAATGTGTCAAGAGTATTAATAATGTTGATCCATTGTTTATTTTGTTGAACACCATACTTGAAACAAGTCATGAAATGCCTTTTTGAGAATATCTTTGAGTTCCACTCTATTCCTATCAAATGTAGGGCCAGGTCAATTAGTTAAATAGCATTGCATTTTTACGAGGTATAAAGACTTATTTGTCACTATAACTCAGTTTTGAAGGAATTGTATTATTTAGAAAAGAATTTTTATAAAGAATGATTTTAATTTTGTTATAAACATTTGTTGAGGTATCACAAAATGAGGCCATTTCCACTTGAGATAACAAAAAAGCTACACATCTCCTTACTAATGGATATTAGAAGTTATAAAACCTGGACTCAATTCAGCTAAATATTGACCAAGATATCAGATCTTGTACAAAATGTGATTTATGTAATCGCAGTAGAACAAAATCAATTGACTTTGGGGATTGCTATGACAGGTCAATAATTTTATCTAAATTTTGTGATAGCAAATTTAGAATACTATGGATTATTACAATTAATAATGATTGATTTCAGAGCTTTTTCTTATTTTCCTTGTTTGAGATTTCTTGCTGATGCTATCATTCCTGCCCATTTGCAATGCTGTAGTTCTCACAAACTAGAATGGACAACACTGAATTTTATGTATATATTTGTAGCTACTTTTAATCAAATTTTGGTGGTTTTAATAGTTGTGAATTTTATTTTGCATTAAAATGACAACAATCAATGTTTATCAAATATGAATAAAATATGTTTTGTCAAATTTTTTGCCCACCTTGTTTTTTAAAATATTTTCTGTTCAAAGCAAGGAGCGGCTCAAGTCAATGAACTGACCACAAGATGTTTTATTTTCGAATTAGTTATCACCTTATACTTGTATAATAATAATAGAGATATGTAAGGGACCAGGCTAGGCCACCCTTGTGCTCCAAACTATTATTGCCGGCTCCCGAACAACTTCAAATTTTTTAAAATGGAAATTGTCCTTGAGCCAGCTGTCTAGTAAATAGAATATATTTTTATCTCAATGGTTTGCTTTCCAAATCTAGAGGAATCCCCCATCTCCACAGGCTAGAAGAGGGGCAGAGCGAACCTTTGTCATATTTATTTTTGATTTAGTTTCGACATAAAATTATTATTATAAGGAAAAAGATTTATTTTTTAAAACTTGAAGTATTAAATATTTTTTAAACAAAATTTATTTTTAAGATAACGCTGTCGAGTTTGCATTTGCCATTTCGTTCTCTTCTGGACACTCCAATTGAGCTGGCTCCTCCATATATAAAAAAAAAATTTTTTAAGTCCAAAATGAGCCTACAAAACCCTTAAATTGACTAAGATGATTCCATAAGTCAGTGGTCGGCCAACGCATTAGTCAAAAGAGCCAAAAATCAGCAGCAGGATGATTAAAAACAATTTGAGAGCCAAATTAAAAGGATCCTGGTTATACAATGTTGAAACAAAATTTAATTTTCAAATCTGTTTTATTTTTTTTTTTTTACTTTAAATTTTTAGAAAAATGCTTGTCTACATCAGTGGTTCTCAACCTTCCTTATGCAGCGACCCTTTAATACAGTTCCTGACTTTAGTTTTCTTTTTTTTTTTGTGTGTTGTGTCTAACTCTTATAAGTAAACAATGGAAGTGATCAATTTATTATTTTTAAAATTTTATAAAGGGTTTATTTCATATAACCTTATATTTGAAAAAATAATTTTTTTATCTAGTCAGTACAGATAATACTTTGCCAATTGACTTGACTTGAAAACACATGAAGATGTTGACCTGGTTACCTGGTCACTGTGACACGAACAGGCCGACAGGGATCACACATAAGACTGTCACTGTGACACGAACAGGCCGGTAGGGATCACACATACGACTGTCACTGTGACACGAACAGGCCGGCAGGGATCACACATAAGACTGTCCCTGTGACACGAACAGGCCGGTAGGGATCACACATCACGCGAGCCCACATCTCTACTGGCACTGGCTACACAGCTAGCCAAAATATTATTTGAAGATATATTAAAAATTAGGAAGTGTTAGTGATTAGAAAATGTGTTTGGTTTAAAAAAAACGGGACATTTAGGCGTCCCGAGAGACTTTTTCGGGACAATGGGTACGATTGTGAAAAAACGGGACAATCCCGTTTTTACGGGACTTTTGGTCGCCCTATGCCTATGTTAGACTGTGTCTGTGTTTTTATTAGGCGTGTTAGTTTTGGTTTTATTATTAATACTTTTCTATTTATTTAATTTTTATTAAAATTTCAACTTAAAAACAAAATTTCTCAAATGAGTTTTTATAATGTATTTCAATGAAGACATGCAATTAAATATGAACTTTTAAATGTCAATAGTTTAAAAAAAAAAAATTTTGTTCAAATGTTCAAAGGGGAGGGGGATAAATGCTATGGCTGATCTATTTGCAAAATTTCGAAAAAAAAAATCTAAATCTAATCATAAACCACGAAGATTTAGTCAATATTTCACAAGGGAGATAGCTCTAAACTTTAAATATTTGGTTGCTATTTATCAAAAATGTAAACAATGCAAGATAACAAAAATAAACCGTTTTGACGTTAATCGAATGATTTATATTATGGGCAGTTCCTCGGTCTCCGGTTGACAAGTCTGTGGTGGCTTGTCGATTAGGAGGCGTCGGCCACCGACCCCCTCGGCGTTACCCGGGGAACACAACTACTGGGCGCGTCCTGCATGGGCAGACAAGGGATGTGCTCGGTACCTGTCGTACATAAAACAGCTCCTACAGGGCTGCCAGTTGTGATATTTCCCAACTGGAACAATAGGCAGAGACAGGGTAGGGATCATGATTACAAGTTGCCGTTAATGAATATGAGGCGAACGGCGAAGGTGGTAACCTCTGGCCGATGATTCTTGCTACGCAGCCCTGACAAGCTGCTCCAAGGCAACCGTTTCGTCCCAGCTGCATCGCGAATTAGTTGCGTTGTGGAAACCCACTGAAGAATCCCTCTTATAGGGCATCTAACGCTTCCCCGGGATGGGTGGGGGAAGATATTAGGACGTAAATTTTTCCCGGACCGATCGGGTGTCTCTGGGTTAGGACGGCCCCGGCGGAGACCCTGGTCGAGCAGACTCGGGTGGGGGCCGTCCTGACAAAGGGACATCCCCGACGTGCCGCTCCGCGGCCCGATACCATGTTGGGAAGGGGTGTTTTGGGGAGGGCATAAAGAGCGCAAGCTCGACGGCCCGCTGACGCCATTTCTTTATGTAACATAATATGGGCAGTGCCGGACCAACCGATAAGTTAAATAAGCCACAGCTTAGGTTCTCACAATCTGCCGTGGCCTAAAAAAAATCCATTTTATTATCTTTAGCGTAACTTGTTCTATTTTCTTTTTCTTTGAGCCATCAATTTCACAATGTCTTGAATGAGTTCTCTTACAATGTTAATTTTATTGATTAGAAGCTGGCCTGTAATTTTTTTAACAATAGGGCTCGTTTGTATACCTCTAAGGAAACTATACCGGTATTTATTTTATGGTGAATATCAAAATTAACTGTGCTTAGCAGTGCTGCGACTCCTTTCTGATCTTTGTCTGTTTATTTATTTATATTTATAAATACGTATTTGACAGCAGAATCTAGGCTCTTTTTTTTCATTGCAATTATTTTTATATAAGGTGCGTAATAAAATGTATTTCGTGAATAATTTAATGTAGAATGAAGAATGTAAGTCTACGTTGAAAAGTAAGAGGTTGAGAAGAAAACAAGTCAATGATAGAGCTGTATCTGATACATGTGAACACCTTTCTCCAAGAGACAATTTTGAGTGAATTCTTTCATTCGTATTATAGTATTCAAAGACATCCTTGAGGCAAATTTAGCGAGAAGATTAACAGTCTGCAATGTGTTGTAAATACATTTTCATTTTTAGCTGATTTAGAAGTTGCAGAGGTGCAGCAACGTCAAGCAGTAGGTAGGCCTACCCCAAGAATCCACACAATGTTGATATTCCCATGACTGCAAAGCAGAATTTGTCAGAAAAAAGTATATTTTGAACACAAAGATTTGAATCAATTTATCTTTTGAGACATAATTTAGTTTTCGCAAAGTTGAAAGCAATATTTCGACTATTTAATGGCAACAAATTGTTCAAGCGAACGATCATTTTCACAGCTAAAGATAATAAAATATGAACAAAAAGCACCTAATGACACAAGAAAAATCGCCTGCACTTAGCATCGATTACCCCTAGCACATCTTTTGATGACGTAATCAATGATTTTTGCTTTTGGGAAACGAGACAAGAAAATAGTTTCAGATTCAGAATTATTTCTGTGATCTTTTAAATATAGACTATTCTTATATCATTTTTAAAAAAAAATATTAATAAAAAAAGAATAATTTCCGTCTATTTGAAAGGTTACCGTATAGATTTTAATTGTTTTTCTTTGACCAGCTGATGTCATTTAAAATGGTGGAGGGCCTCATCAAGTGTAAGTCTGACCCTGATTAGGGGCCATCCATAGAGTTTGATTTGTTTTCTTCGACCAGCTGATGTCATTTAAAATGGTGGAGGGCCTCATCAAGTGTAAGTCTGACCCTGATTAGGGGCCATCCATAGAGTTTGATTGGTTTTCTTTGACCAGCTGATGTCATTTAAAATGGTGGAGGGCCTCATCAAGTGTAAGTCTGACCCTGATTAGGGGCCATCCATAGAGTTTGTAGGCAAAAAAAGTCAATTATTAGACCTCCCTCCCTCTTGATGCATCCTTGCTTTTTGATGACACCCCCCCCCTCCTTTTATGCCTAAGAACAATGCTCTCTCAGCACACCCCCACCCCCCCCTTCCCCCCAAAAGAAAAAAGTAAAAAAAATTCATATTACTTGAAACACTATAAAATGTAGTCAATGAATTCTTGTGTATTCTTGTGTTTCCTAACTTAGCGTAACCCCAAATTTTTAGCGTACCCCCATATTTGTAGCGTAGCGCCACATGGTAACAATGTGTAGATTATAGAAGGGCATATAATAGTCTATAGACGGTGGCAAAATAAAAATTAGAAAAAAAGGGGGGGGGGTGGGATGCATAATCAGTCGGTTTCAAAATGTGAAAAGGGGTGTGGTGTTTACAAATGATTTCTTTGACCCTTACGTTTTTCATATCTTTGAAATATATTTTTTATTGTTGATGGCATTCGTCCGTCACAGTGTGACAATGGTGTAGGATTCGCAGGACGAACTCCACAGGGCCTGAGATTATTCTTCTAGGGTTATAAGCTGGTTCCCAAACAGCAAATCGCCTCTCTCCACGCCGCTGGATAAACCCAGGGGAACATCACGTGGATGATACGGCGTGGCACCAGTGGCGTCGTAGGAGTTGTCGGAATGTCCCTTATCTGAGTTGCCATCCAAGGTTGGCGAGTCCCGTCCACGCGGGATGCTTGAGGATTGAGCCCCAGACCGTCAACTTGAGATTTGCTCAGTTTAGACACCCTTTTTCACATACGTTTTTCATATATTATTTTACAAACATGTATCACTTATATTTTTTAGATCTTACAATTGTGAATCTTAGGCCTAAATGGCAGCAAAACGGAAATTCAATGTTTCTTTATGGTAGCATTAAGACCTCTTTTTTTTTTCTCTCCCCACGCATTAGGATGGGGGGATTAGACATTATATGTGATTAATTGGTGCGTGGGGCGGTAAATAATACAAGTTGGAGAAGCACTGTCATAAAACGTGGTAAAATGTATGTAGTGGGTCTT